CTCCCGTTTACGTGCTTACCAGGGCAATGCTAGACGAATGTAAACCTCTTTCACTGAAAAAGCGGGGCATTTCGGCGCTTGAATGCTGACCCCTGCAAATCTTAGCAGCCGTCGTTTTGACATGGTGTAAACAACCCGCAAAGAGGTCTCGTGTTCGGTTTTGTGGGCAGACTTCCGCAGTTGGTGAGCAATTGCTTATTCAATCAGTTGATTGAAGTGCTTCGTACAAGATTCTGTGGGTGATATCTCATCTAATACAAGAGCAAACTGCTGGTTCAGTGTGTTTTTTATAGACCAAATCGTTTCATGGGCTTAATCTATTTGTGAGAAGTTCAATTTAACATTAGGGCATTTGGTGTGTTTGGATGTTTGATTTGGTACTGTTCTATCTCCCTGACGGTTTTCATTCTAATTTATGTGTCGCATATCCCGTTTATTGATAGACTATATTAGGAAACCTAAGTTGTAGTATATCACGAAGCAGTTTGAGAAATTTTAATTAACATTCATTTCTTAATTATGCGGTTCACATCTTAAAAATTACCCTGCAATAGGCAAGTGAGAGTAGAATTAGATTTCATCGATGTTTAACGCGCAAACGCTTTCGAGAACGCGGTAACGTAACCAACGCAATAGAAACAACGAGCAGCTTTCTCCAAAAAAATATAAATCAGTAACTTTTATCTACGCATGCATCCATTATTGGGGTGAATTGTGGTTCAATTTTTTCTTGCATCAGTTCACGTTCCCACCACCGTGAACGACCTTATTTTCAAACAGCTACATCCTTTTCTGTTAGAGAATTTATATCTTCCCAAATGCTTACCATCCAAATGAAAACGGTTTGGATTGCGGAAATAAAATTAGGCACTAAGGGAGAGACTGTGCGTTGCATGATTCTCGGCGCGGAAAAATGCTAGTCTCGATGAAGATGGAAATCAACACTTCGCTATATCTGTATACCGAGGTGAACTTCGGTACTTGGTTATTAAAGTTAATAACGTAAAATCAATAATTTGTTACATGGCTTCAGTTTTCGCATGGTTTCTTTTGTGGACAATTTAAAGCGGTAATTAAATTTGTCACCGCTGGTCTTTTGAACGTGAAATGTAATAACACGGGGGTGGGAAAACAGCAGACCCTTTGCAATTCAAGTTCTACAAATATCGTTATAATATGCCCGGCTATCATTTTTAGATGTCTGAGCATCATGTCAATTTATCTCAATATTACCTGCGGTTGTCCGAGTATCATTTTAAACTGAGTCTTTGACCGCATCGGAGCTGCCAGGTTCATGCACGTTTCAAGCCTCCTACCGATGTCTGGGTGAGCACGGTGCAGCATGGACCTCTCAACCTTCTGTTAAAGCGCGGGACAGACCCTTGTTCGGCGTGCCTCGATCACTCACAACCCAATTTCTATGACATATCTTGTTTGCTTGCTTGCGACTACGTGTACACGTCTTTCTGTTCGCTCATCAGCCCCCCCCCTCTCAAACGTCATACTGAGCCAACTAAAAGCTGTCATGAATGCAAAGCAAGAAAATTGTAACAGCGCTGTTCGTTTGTCTGGGTATGATTTTACAGGGGAAGGGGATGAACGCATACAAAAAACATTTTGAAATGATAGCCGAAGAATGGAACTGAAAAGGTTCAGTTATTGGTGTCTGCATGGAAATTCAAAATATGAATTTGTTTCTCCTAATTTATTTGTAAACGGAAAGGTCAATTCAATTACAAAGTAGTGAATTGATTTTGCGTTGATAGTATGACAGTAGTATTGGCAGTTGACCGAAACTGCCTTCATTAACAGAGGATATTATTGATTTTGTTCACAGAGAGTATTATAATTATTATTGCGATCGTGCAAATGGGTTCATCCCATATTACAATTTACAAGAAGGAATTCTCCCAAAGAAAGAATGAATTTAAGTCTCACTGTGACTATTTTTTACTTCAAAACCTTTTGGTATACTGATATTTTCTGCTTTTATAGTTCAAAGCATTTTTGATGAACGTAAGTTCAACTGCGAGACCATTCTATTTGTTTTAGCTTTCATTCACTGCATCCTATCATATCACAATCCTGGTCCTAGCGGAACACTTTCGAGAATCAGCTGAAACACGGATTTGCTTTTACCGGAGGAGAGTGGAGTTCGAAGAAGGACGCCAATCCTCAGTTCATGACCATAATTATTGAAAACGGATTATCAGTAGGCAGTTGTTTTTGTTTCGATTAAGAAACGTTGAAGTGGTTTAACACATTTGTAAATGATGTATCCCGTACGCATGTTCTAGATTATTATGAAGCATTTTTTTAGGATTCCTAATTCTGTGATATGTATGAGTCATCAGACTATAAAGCTAACTCTTATAAATATACCCCGGCTAGAAGGTGCACACAAGGTTCATTCTCCTAAACTATCCGTCCGCACACTCCATAGATGGGAGCTGATTAGGGAGAGACCTTAAACACTGGGTTTTGCGGCAAACCTGAATGTTATGAAACCCCGAAGGATGAACATGTCATTCGCAAACAGGTGTTTACTTTGGATGCAACAAGTAGTTTTCTTGCCTGTCACCATGGTGAATTATGGCGAGAGAGAGTTTTCAATCATGACATTGATGGTGCAAATCTAAACGAGGGCATGACCATTTACTGACAAACTTGTTTGGTTGAATGAGCCAAACCATTTTGAAAACACTTGTCTGGGTGCTGTCCTGAGGTCAAAGAGTAGTAGTAGTAGTAAACGCTACAAAATATTTGTATTTATACTCACAATTATGGATTGCATTATCCTCAGTGTTGATGTAAGTTATTATGCGACCTGACGAAAAAGACGATGTTCATAGACACAAACTGCATATCTACGGATTCCATCGATTTGTTGTGCTGTTGCATATTTCAATCATATTTCAGCAGAGGAAGAAAGCTCACCAGGAAGTAAACTCAAACGCACAAGCTGTGAGTTCTATAATAGTATGCAAATCAAGCACATCCGTTGTCCATCCTAATCCAAGTGGATGCTGAAAGATCAGCATCCAAAGGATTAAAACAAACGGTATCCGGAGACCGTCAATCGTCTTCATTACGGCAAGACGTCAACTCTGTTTTTAACTGAGGGTGGAGATGTATCTATATTCGCAGCACATCTATTGAGTTGATGCTGTTTTTAAATTGCAACAAGGTCAGCAGCAATCACTTCAAGCTGTTTGTTTCTCATTGCTTGTGTGGACATCTTTATGTAAGTAATGATAACAGTATAGGTACTTGTGAAGAATGCTTTTCTGTGGGATAAGTAAATTGATTTGGCATTTGTACTATCGCTGTAAAATCAGTAATCTTATGAAATCAATAAAAAGAAGAACAATCTCTAGAAAGCGTTAGAAACGTGCACCGGTTAACGTATCGTTCAGCTCGAAATTTATTTCCATTATTTTGTTAGAAATAATTCAAAATCAAGTGTATGAATTATAGCAAGGAAAACTGAAAAAATTGGTAAGTTAACTGGATTATTATTTTGAACTTAAGATTTTAATTTTCGGGTAATCCTGTTTAGGTGGGATACCATTTTATTGCTAAGAATGAGCCAAGGGCACTCAACGATGTAACAGTTTTACTCACCAAGTACAGCCGTTCATCAAACAGGCAATAGTCTTCCAGAACTCCAGGAGCAGAGACACTGGGATTTGAGCGTGAGCCAAATGTGTACCAACGCATACCTAACCAAATCCGTCTAAGCACGACACAGAAGGTTTGAGGATTTGAAAATATAGAATTTGGATTTGCGTAGAAATGTAAAGTAACCTTTAAATTTGCTCGAAGAAAAGTATTATTCATGTATATAATTGTGTGTATAAGTAGGATGACGGTTGATGCTTTCAGTAGCATTTAAGCAACATAGAGCATATCAACACATAGTAATGATTCATATGTAGACTATTTCTTGATCATAAGCATAAAAATAATTAGATAACAGATTACCGGATTTACATGTCCGATGGGCGACAAAAACTGCGAAACCGATGATGTGCCTTCAGGGAAAATTTGTCGTCATTCAGGTAGTACTCATTGCAAGATATATGCATGGTTTATGTGGAAATCTCTGGAAAGAAGCTAACGATATCAGTCTTCAACGTCTTTGGATCACAGTGAAATATCTCTTGTTTCGACTAAATTCTTTGAAATGGACTTGGTTAGCTTGACCTAATAATAAAACGTTTGGACAATTTTTTCTTCACCTGCACTCGATAACCTCTCATTGGGCAGTCATCTCATTTAGTAACCTTGACCAACCAGAACTTATCTAATTGACGCATTCAGCCCGTTGTTTATCAAAATTCTGACTCGTCTTATCCGTAGTTCAAAACTTAGTGAATGGACGTAAGTGTTATTTCGTATTGATATTTTCTGTAATTCACCGCTTTAGATTAATTCAAGTTTACTAACGCACAGGTTACTAGCACGCGTGTGGTCTGATAATTTCATTCTGATCTCCCTGATGCTTTTGATGTGTGCCTAACATTTCAGTTTCCACGTCACAAGAAAAGGAGAGAACTGTTTAGTTTCCTCCGATCCTAGAGTTCGAAAATTTGCTGTCTACAGCGGTTGTTAATTGTTGACATCTTCTGGAATCCCCACATTTAACGATTTAAACGTTTTTAAGGGAAATCGGAAGCTATTGTCCGAGGCCGAGAAACCGGAGGAACCACTTAACACGGTAGCATATATACCATGATCATGCAACAAACATCAATAGTTTCTGATAATCAGGACCCAACTTAATGAAGATTCACGGACTCGATCCGTTGTCAGAATCTCTATTCCAGCTTGCCAGATTATACTTATACTTTCAAGTAAAAAGTCGCATAGTTTATCAGGGTTCTCAGAAAGGTTTGAACATCTCTTACTATCAAATATATCAATTGTCCATTCAGATATCTCAAAATAAAGTGGTAATCAACATGGGTGAAACATGTTTTCAAAATTTGAGTATACGAATGCAAACTCTGACTATCATTTTCATTCCTTCTCAAAGTGAAGCGGACCACATTGAAAAGTAAGTTTTTATTACAGGTTTGAATACTGAACTTTGTTTGATTAAAGTTATTAATTGTTCGAATAGCCACTTTACCAATAAGAAAACAACAGAGAAGATTTTGATGATCATAAGCAAATATGTTGGTTATCGAATTAAAAACAATGCGTACATTCTTTGTTTAAAAGTACCCCAACATTTTGGCGAACCAGAGATCTACCGGTTATCTGGTATCCGCATTGTAATTGACAGGTTTGCCGAGTTGGTGCGCTAGCCATCAAACCTATCCGGAATGTCGTTCTGATTCAAATTGTTTACGAAATCAAAATGCACAAATCAGTCAAGGCGCACAACAGTTTTCTGCAAATAAGCAGTTATTATCTCGATTGCGTGATAAAGACGATTGGGTCGACCTACGATGAACCAAGTGTGCAACACCCTTTTTAATAAAATAATCTGTTATGAGTATCTTATTCTTTTGCTGTAAAAATTAGGTGTTCTATACTGTCGGACTAACACCTAAAACACAAAAATTCAAAATAAATGCATGAAAAGCAGGTAAATTACTGCCTACGTGAAGATAGACGGAGCTTAATTGTTGAGACTGTGCGAGAAAAATATAGTCTATATATCCATATATTAAATCACTTTCTTCAGTTATCAAAAAATATGTTATTTTTCTTCTCTCGCTCATTGGTTCCCAAGTAAAGTTAAGTCAAGAAGTGGTTTTAATTCGCCCCATCGGGGATGAACATTCAGCTACCGCAATCACTCTTCTATAGAAATTACATGGTAAAAAACGGATGCTGCTAGGTTGCATATACAAACAACTAAGGGAAATTTGACAAAGATTATGTTTGATAGATCAGCGCTGGTAAGAAAACGTTCCACGTAAGCTATTGCTTGTTGTGGTGCGCCTTGTCATGTGCTTACGTATAGAGTGAGTGCTAGATGTGGAGATACATTGACCAATGTGAGGATACAATGGATGAGATGGATCAAGTACTATTCTGGTGGAAAGTTTCTGGCAAGCCCTAAGGTGCTGTGAAATACTAAACTGCACAACATACTCACGAGAAATGCCGTTGTATCGACGTACGTGTTTGATCGATATACGTAAGAGTTTGGACTCTTTGATAAAAGGACCCGGAAATGTAACGGGGGATGCATCAAGCCAGTGGGGTGGGTATAAGAACAAACAAAACTCTTCTTGGTGAGTTGTTGTAGATACCATTTTCAAAAGGATAACGTAAAACATGAGTTTTCTGGCATTGTGTAATGTCTCGATGACATGAGGAAACCAAGGCAGATTGCGGGAAATAGTGACTTTAAGATATTTGACGGAGCATGCTCTGGAAACGTATTCATCAATAATAATGAAATGCTGACAAGAGTTCATCACATCAATATATTGATCACCTTTCAGCAAACAAAATAAAACATCATTACACTTGGAAAGATTCTTTCTAAGATTGTGTTGTGAAGACCAATAGGTGAGCAGTGAAATAATCTGCGTAAGTTTTGGGGTACACGGAGGAATTGGAAAACGTCATACCATGCACAACGTCAACGGCATACTCAATGAGCAAACAATCATAAAAAGCAGGCATTGAAGAAATATAGGTTGTGAACAAGAAGGGAGAGAGAATAGTTCCTTGAAGAACTCCTTGAGTGGAGGGTAAAAGTGACGAGTTACGACCCTTATAGATAGTAAGCTGCATTTGATCGGTGAAATAATTACTTAACCGATTAGTAAGCTGCCGCTGAACGTCATTCTAAGAAAGAGTATAAAGACGTTTGGACCTATCGACACAATTACGGGCACCACTATAATCAAGGAAACATACACGAACAGGTTACGCTTCCTGTCCAATGGGGAAGAGACAATGTATAAGGCATGCCAAACTCATCAATGGTTGATCTGGCCTAGGCAAATTGATTGGGATCATGTACATTCAGCTGGGGCAAATTCTTCTGTAGTAAATTTTTTTCCATGACTTTCAAACCAACATAAGTGCAAGCAATCGGTCGAAATTTGGACGGCCCCATTTTGGGTACTGGCGTGACAGAAATCACTCTCCAACAGTCCGGAATGCGATGTTGAGTAAAACACTGGTTGAGCAGGTCAGTGAAAACAGGGGAAAAGGAAATCTCATATTTTTGAGCACGAAAGATGACAGTCTTTCAGGATCGCACGCTTCGTTACACTTTCAACTGATGAAAGGTTTGAATACTTCTGCTTGATTAGTAATTAAATTAACAGTATTTGGACCAGGGACGGAAATCCGAACACGGTTCAATACGAATCGCAATGTTTTGACTTCAGCTGACCAAATGTCTAGCAGGTAGAAAAACAGTTGAACGACAGCTTAAATTTTGTTTCTAATATAGGCATATATCAATACATATTTGCGACTTACGAAACCGTCGTAGGTCCCAGTTACAGAACTACAAACAATAGAGCAAATCACGGAATGAGATCACAGAGATACCGAGCTGGTAATGAGGAGGCCGGTTCAAACAACTGTTAAACGTTGAGTTCATAAAATAGAAAGGAGAGGTAGGAAAAGGAAGATAATGGAATCAGAAAAGTAGTGTGTACAAAAGCTGCTGAAAACTGCCCAAACAACTGCTGTAAAGGGAATAGGGATGTTCGTTTCAGGATTGCTGAATGGGTGATTGAGATGGTCCACATTGGCAGCTGGAATATTCTACTTCATTTTTAGACCGTACCACTGAAATATCATTGTCTAGGTATCCCGGCAGTTCCTGTTTGCAGCATTGCACGTAAATAAGCGGCGGTTAATCTCCGCAGTTCAGCCTTGATTGCCTTTGAATGGTCTTACACAAAAGGGTACTTTTTTGCTTTGAAAGCTTGTTCTGTCTTCCAACGTAATCGTTTAGGTGTAAGGGGTGAAAAACGGTCTGGCTATACGTATAACGTTTCCCACGGGCAGAACGTATCAAACTAGAACTTAAAGCATTCAGTCAGGGTTTCAAAAAATATAGGGGTATTACATACAAGTAAACAGAAGTCTGTCTGATCTAATATATCTTTTAGTTTGGTGAGATTTTCGGGTTGACATTGACGCCGACGAAGAAGATGATCACGATGCCGAGTGTAGAAATGCTGATTGGATCTTCTGTAGATCGGTGTTGCCTGATCAGAGGTGCCAACAGAGGAACGGCTGCGCGAGTTAAATAAATTCAGGTCCTCAGTGAAACAAATCATGATAAGCCTCGAGTCAGGTCGGAAAGTTAACAACGTTTTGTAATCCAAGCGTTATCAAAAACGTGAAATAAAACCCATCGAGGTCACCGCACACGATGCACACGAGGAGTCCACATAATTAGGCAGACTAACGGAGAAAATACCTGTGATCTCATTAAAATTATCAGAAGAATAAGAAGGATAAATGTAAATGTTTCCGAAAATGATAATGATGGTGATGATGTTGACGATGATCATGATGATGATGATGATGATGATGATGATTCGGATGATCCTAATGATGATGATGATGATGATGATAATGATGATGATGATGATGATGATGATGATGATGATTTGCATGATGATGAAGATGATGGTGATGATGGTGATGATGATGATGATGATGATAACACCACCGCCCCGTTCGTGAATCGGAACGTGTCGGTCAACTCGTCAGATGAAAAAAATGTTGATTTTAACTGTTATCATAAATTTCATTATAGAGCCAGCTCTCCTGCAGCGTTATGACTCTAGCCTTTGAATATTCACATCTCCTTGTCAGATCTATTACTTCTGCCATAGTACCAAGCAGAAAGCGCACATTTCCACTGATGACTGCTGGAGTGTAGGTATCTGAAAATGATCAATGGCGTAGTGTGACCTGCCATCCAGCTGGATTTTTGGGAAGTTTTTTGAGATTTCCGTAAATTCCTCCTTATGTGTTACGAACCGATTTGCGAAAAGAAGATAAAGACCGGTTGCTGGAAATTCGAAGTTCCTTCATGCAAACGACAGAGCATTTCGCAGCATTTAGGATGGCCATAATTGCACAGCGTTTCTATGACAACAATGACGTGTAACCCAGATAAAATCCAGTGAAGAGTGACTGTGTAGTTCCGATTCCGACGATGTTACGGACTACACAGCCAATTTTAAAAGCCCCTCCTGTTTGCCAGTTTCCATGACAAAAACAGCTTCCACTGAACGTATTTTTAGATAACTAAGAGTAGCCGCTAACGACTGTGAGGAAAATGATAAAAACTACTACGTTTTAATTTGCCCCAGTTAAGCAATTACAAATAGTGCCAGCTTTCGAAGTTTACGCCATATAAGTTTAGTAGCAGTTACAGAAAATTTTTCTCAAAAAAGGACAGAAAAAACGATGAAAACCAATCATATTTAGATTTCCTTATTGTTCTAAGAATCTTTTTCTTTCATTTGTTTTAGAACATGGTAAGTTTAATTTTTCTGCATTCGTTTTGCCGGGGCAAGATGGCACGAGGTGCTATAGTGTAGTGTTTGGTATTGTGTTGTAGTTCAGAACAGCTCTTTACTAGGCGGTGCTCAAGTGGTGTTCTCGGAATTAGTGATTTCAAATCGCTCCACTACCGCTCATTTATTGCACTATCAACACAACTCCTAATTATTTGCAAATGGTTTGCTGAAACTGGACTATACAATGCTGTTACGTAAAAGAGCGAATTAGAAGCTCCTTTTTCAGAATATCACCACATCAATATGGCCTGATTCAACTTTATATCTAAAAATAATTCGACGAATATGCATTAAACGCAACCCAGCTGATCATATATAACTCAGGGAATGTCTTCATATTTTTCACACATATGTTCTCGTATCAGGGAATTTACAGTCCCTATTAAGTGCATTTTAAAGTCTTTGTTTTAAATCGGTCGAACTGGATTAATTTACCAATGTAATTACTGTTTGTATCACTCTCTTCTGTCCGAATCGTAATTTGTCACAGGTACCTTTTAATAACAAAAGTTGGCTTCCGCTGTCTGAAATGAACTGTTTGTATGCTGTGCTCAAATGTGATTATTAACTGTGGAAGCCATTGTTAACTTATGGTGGTGATCCAGACATGTGTGACCGCATTCCACGTACGACCAAGTACAGCTTCATGTAATTCAATCAAAGTACAGGACACTGGACCAATGCTATACCGGGCGAACACTACATCAGAGTTCGCAAACGGTTACGGGATTAGACGCTGGTCCTGCGACCAATAAGATGACCTAGTGCTTTCTTTAAAATATACTTTATTTCTATGAATAATCATTGGTACTTGCTGCTTCCAATTTTTGTCCGTTCTGACTATTACAGAATAGATTTTCATATTCCTATATTCAATACAAATCCGATTATGACACTATTGTTGGGGTAAATAGCTTATTGTATCATTCCAACTCTCAGGTAATGATATGGGGTTAACAAAGAATAAAGGCGTAATGAGCAAAGCCAGTTTACAACAGTTTAAGATTCAGAACTCTTGATTTGATCATGCTTTTCGATGAGCTCACATTCGACATCCTAAAGTGCTTTCGTAAACCTTCGGATTAATACCTTTTAAAATGTGAGAAAATAAATACGCATTTATATGTTTCGCAATGGCGGATATGATGCAATGATGGGCCATTTCATGGTTAACAATCTACTGCATCAATTTATTGACCAAACAGTGCCTGTGCCAATATATATAAACTACATGGATACAGCTGCAGTGTCTAAAATTAAATTCAGCGATTTTGGATGTACTTTACCGTTTTGCGTTTAATAAGATTAAATGTTCGACAATAAATGGTTATTTGTTTTACTTAGTCTGTCTTCAACATCTGCGTTTCAGCACATCTTACTTGTTTGCTTTTTCACAATAATTTATCGATGGTAGCTAATTGAATCGTGTGTTGTTCTTCTACAATTTGAACGGCAGAAATCGATGTAATCTAATTAAAGATGACATAATTAAAAATGCCTGCAATTAATTGATGAATTTGTCAGGTGACAGCTTTTCTGCCAACAAAAAAGGAGTTATTCATGTTCGCTTTATAAATTTGTGCAATAATTTTCTTCATTGAAATAGAACTCACACTAATATCAAAACTGAGTGAGTCAAATATAATTAAATCAAATATAATTAACATTTTGCTGTCGATGGAAGTGTTGTTCGCAGAACTTAAGTAGCCAGACTCGGAAACGTCATCGGTGTGACATTCGCATCCCGAACTAAATTTATTTCACATTATAAATAAATTTTGTTTTATCTTCGCATATAAGTAATGGAAACACTGGTAGAAATAATAGCACAGCTTATTATTGTTAAGCCATTGTTGATTGGAAGTTCATACAAAATGTTCAGTAGCTCCGAAAGGGAGAATGTACGCCCAATTCGACCAAAAAACACTCATATTTGCTTAAGCTCGTTGAACAGTTGCCTCGGGTGAGCATGTCCATACAGTTTCCATGTATCCGTATTTTACCTATACTATGATGATTAGGTCACTGAGGTCCTGTCCTCCTGTTGCATCATAGTCTTCAGCTATAAATGACTTGGTATAATTTGACGTATTATCGAATATGCATATCACATGCAGTATTTATACCATTTTGGTTGAATTTATTCATATTTGTTAGGAAGTATTGTTTTTATGGGAAGAAGAAGAGGACAGGCTTTGATCAACCGTAGTGTGTGATGGATTTCGTTGATTCATGGGCAAAACGAGGATTCCGTTACCCGGGAAACGGTATATTAATCGTCATTCCGCCTACAGAATTGCTACGAAGAAAAATTTGCATTATAACCCACTTGCTTACAAGACTGGCTCTGGTCCAGGAACTAATAATAATTGAGAAGGTTTTGCACATTACAGATTGATTCCATTTTACATCAGGATGCATGCAGCGGTAAACTGATTTCAGGAGCCCTTCATATGTTGATTTGAAATCAGGTGCGATGAGGGCGGCGGTCTCTAATTCGGTTCACGAAGTGCATGGTTTCCGAATGATCCATAGTTGAATTTTTACACATTGTCAAACCGCATCGCTGGTTCGCAAAATTTGGTGAATATCTACTCATCATCAGCACAAGCATTTGCATGAGCTTCCGAGGAACGAAGAAACTATTTTATATTGGTGTCTATGAATCGACCTGCCAAAGAATTCTTTGTTTGATGTTCAGTAGGTCCCTCGCATAGTGGAATGAACAAAAGTTGAGTATGTTTGCCACCGTTCCACACGTTAAATTGTGGACAATTAGAGGCAACAGAAATGTCATTTACCCATTGATCGATGGCATGCATCGGGCGTGTGCACATTCGACGGCGATATGTTTTATTGCGGGAAGTACCTTTGTTCAGTTATTAGTGAGTCATCTTTGGATTTCATTGCACATAGTAAATTTATTTGGATGACTCATATATTTATGAATTTTGGATGATAAACAACATCCGCTTCACGTGAGCTTACGATTTCCGTGGTTGAACTAAAGCATACTGGCGTTTAGCGTTGGAATCAAATGTTCGAACAATCTGCTATGGATGCATTTTTCAAACACTCCGGATAGCTTTCCTCGACCACGGAATCAATTAATAAATTAGTCAGAATGTAAACAGTTATATAGTTACAAAAATAATAATGTGTTCGATATTCATTATTTTGCCGAACGCAGAAAGTAACACGGATTCAGTACTATGAAACTAACACAATCAACCGATTTAATTAATTTAATTGCCTAATAAATACAATACTCAAAACAATAATCTGAGGAAGTTCTGAATGATTATCTCCAATTCTTAGCACAGTATCAGTTGGAAAACATGGAACATCTTGCCTACAACAAAGAGTGACTGACATTTTGCAATATTACCGGTATCTGTTGGTGTGTAAGTTTATCGGTTGCTCCATTGTGTACCGAGAAGAAGTGCAACACACGAATTCCAGCAATTGGTCTCTAAAAGCTGACATATGCACTTTTGTTTTACAACTAAATTAAAGTCAACCAGTTGAATGAAGAAAGTACGTTTTCAACTTACGCGACAGTATTTCTAATGATATATCACCTTTGAAGAATAAGAATTTTTCCAGGAGATGTGAACAAAAACGGTCGTGTTCTGAAAGACAATAGCTTATAGATTCCAGGTGATATGCTTAACTGAAGCGGACTACAATGAAAGTATAACTCGCTTATATTGCGAAACTGCTAACTTTTGTTTCATAACCCTTCGCATGAATGTGGATTCAGCTACGAAGAAACCTTTAGGGATTGTTTATTAAAAACATGTTTCGCATCTGTGACGTTAAATTGCACATTCATTTCATCCTTATTATGTGTCAATTTGACTCGTTCAGTTGAACCAGGAAATTGGTAGATGGAGCATATTTAGTACCTTTACCGTCCTTCGTTAATACTTATAGTATACGAAACAAAACAACTGAATATATACCATTTATGTGATTAAATAATGCCTCAAATTTCACAATGTGTTCCGTCGTGCAGGTCATTACTAATTGGTTAGAACTAACCGTTATTTAAACTTCAGATTCAAAAACAAACCCAATTTATATGCAGCAATACACCGGAATACACTTGCCTGTGTGCTCAGAGGGTAATTTCTGTTTAATAATACCTACTGTTGCCAAAATAACACCATGACGTAGTCCTTAGTGCAAATGCTTGCGGATATTTTCATAACAAAATTACATATCGCTTTGCTTCACACGGTCATCAATAATATTCACAAATTATTTTAATGAATGAAAGATATTCTTATGTTACCCAGGTAAATTAAGATCCTAATGATTCTTTTTTGAATGGTGTGGCGCACATTCAATGATACGCTTAGGAGCGAAGAGAGCAGACAAAAAATTAACATTCCTCAATAATAACCAGATGCATAGATTTGTTCGGCGAAAAATGTTTCAGGATGCCCCATGAACGACAACACACTCATTTCCATAGTTTTATACTACTAGCTTCTAAGTGTGTTTTGGTACAATGTTTTCTATTCAGAGCACGTTATGCCTTCTCAGAAAACATATTGGAAACATAATTGGTGGTTATGTGAAAGACGCTGTTAGAAAATGGCTACGCGAAATCGTTCGTTGAACGTAATTAGTTGGAAAGAACAAGACACGTTACTACAGCGAGAGCTTAGAAAAAATTCTACTCATCAACCTTCCTTTCAAAAAAATTCAGCAAGGTTCATCAGGGTCCTGAGTGCCGCCGTTTAGACGTTGTTCAGTGTTGGCAAACTTATATACGTTTTTCCGATAACATCCGACACCTGGTGTCAAAACGAAAAGTTGCCAATGTTGACCTCATCGTTGCTGTTTTCCCCATTCCGGTACATCTGCGGTGTCACTCGCACAGGTCGATCGGCAGAGCAGCTATCTAAAAACATCAAAGAACACCAACTCATGTGGGTTAGACACGGGGGAAACGGCGTCCAGTTCAATTACTGCTTTTTTCTTCGAGACACATAGTGGATCCTAACCATGTTCAGACACTCAAACTGTCCTGGCGCTAATAGACCCAAATCACACACGAGCGCTATAAAGACCCAAATAATGTACCACCGCTTACGTAAGCCGTTAGTATCTGAGCAAGAGAACTGGAGACATATATATCCCTAACCCACACACTTGCTTTACCTATTCCACCTCCACTGGCTAACCCCAAAACAACATCCTCCCGACACTATCGTACATAAGTGTAATTGGGCTGATTTAAGAACGAAAGGAAATACTTGTTAGCTTAGTATCAGTGTTTTGACTACAACGATGGGCTTATTTTGTGAAGTATATTAAAGGTTCCCGAACCTATCACCTTACAGAATGAATACAATAAATACGGATTGATATACATGAGTAGTACATGCATATATGTGTTCCCAGTACCACAAGGTAATTACGAAAACAGCTTCGAATGCCATCTTGATAGTGGTAATTCGATGAAGTGTCCTCATTCAACAGAGAAGAAATTGTATTATATTTTACATTGACTGGCTAGTTCAATAGTTGCGGGATTGATTCAATAATTTGCAGTGACTAATTTGCAGAAATTCAGTAAGTTCGCAGTTTAATCAAAGTCTATTTGGAGAAAAATGCGCGGCATCACCGGGAAATGACGGTTAGGGGAGCACATTGTTGGAAAGTTCATTTGGGAATTTTTCAAATTCCCAATCCAAAAACGTCGAGGGAAAACAGCTCCCGCACCCCGTTTAATAGTTATAACGTCAAATACATTGTTAAAGGCTGTGGGTAATATGCAACGGTTGCATTTCAAAAAGATAAGTTCAGAACCACAAATGTTCGATACGTTTAGTGCATGGAACATCGAGGACCTCAGGATTTGTGGTTTTGTTTCTCTTCCGTGCAATGGGACACGCCTGGTAATGGTAGTAGATGGTTATTGCATCATTCACGTATGCAGATTTTAACTAAGGGTAACAGATGCTTGGAAAAATACCAGAGAGGGATGGATTAATCCCTTGTTTAACTGTGACCCATGAAAAGATTTGATACGCTCGGATGAAGTCAATTTTAAAAGTTTTAGGTTATTTTCAAAGTAGCCTTTATGCTTTTTTGTCAATTCGGAAATCTGATGCAAATCCGTGTCTAAGAAATGTATCTTCCTCGAATGGTTCACACATTTTGTTGTACAGCCGAAGTATATAAAAATTCGGGTAGGTTTTATTATAAATTCATCCCTTTTCAGCTGTTCCCGTGAAACGGAGCATGTATATAGTCTCAATGATAAATGTAATTTCATGTGCTGTCACCGGTAAATTGTGTATGAGGTTTACTGGTTTCTATAGATTCTACTCACTGCAGCATGCAGAACAGTTGATTGCTTTTGTCCAAAAGGCACATCGTAGCTTTGACAAATAACAATAGAGTTTTCAATAAATAGGCTGACTGATTATATTCTTCACAAATGGTTTAAATAAGCCTAAGGTTTCGATAACATAGGAAGTGAAGTAAAGATGGTGGAGTAGAAAAATGTTCATCTTTTTTTCTAAATTAATATGCTGACCATTAAGACAAGCGTTGTGCACTGGAATGGGGAGATTATGTGCTACGTCCCTCCACCACAAAGTGCACCGTCTTGTTTGAAAAAACAAGTGAAGTATATGAACAGTTCCAATAATTTTTTACTACAGTCCTACTGTGAACCCGATTGCACAACGGAGATAAAATGAAAACTCAGAGCTGTGCCTGTCGTGATCCGTATCCGAGTGAATATTCAGGATACATTTTTATAAACAACAGCCCGTCCCACACAGGCCAAATTCGTTTCAATTTATTTGGTTGTAACTTACGTTTCTATTGTTTGGATACGTTTTGCATTTGATGCAGATATTTAGATTCATTCCAACTGCATCAACAATGCAGTTGTTCTGTGCTCTGTCGACGAAATCTGGATCTTACGCGATTGCCGCGGCTATCAGAGTGGCGTGCTATGAATCGTTAGTAATTGAGTCTGAATACCAAACCAAAAAAAGAAAAGACGGAAGAATGAACTACTTCATCGGGCTTATTTCGTCTTCCGCGATATAAACTTTTCCCTATTCTGCGGTTACATATACTCGAGGGCGTTTTTTCTGGATAGGATAACTGCTACCGGAGTTTTCCGCCTGTACTATGCTCAAAATGTATACTAACAATACAGAGGAAGTATAAATAGTTGATCTGCTGGATAAGCAGACTAAAGAGAAGGCATTTAGTGCACAGTGACGATCGTTCCGAAACTCAGTGCAACATCGGGTACAGTCGTGAACACAGCAACTAACAGCAAGACTACAAGACTAAGGATAAAGGCGCGGTTTTCGAAACACAAATCCATATTTTCCGAGTTATAAGAACCGATGAGCTACAGCGAGTGTTTAGTTCTGCGTCGAAGCCCAGTACCGATAGTTTCGCCTACATGGTATAATAACGCTTCTCTCAACTTACAATAATTTTGTGTTGTAGCG